TGGAGTCATGGCATCTCTAGAAATTCTTTCTCTTTCTGCTCTCCACTCCCACAGTTTTGCTTCCAGAGTTCTGCACTAGATCAGTCCTTGATCCTGCCTCTTCCACCTCTGCATGCTGCAGCTTGATGGCTGCATCCACAAACAGGAGCTCAGTTTTCTACATTTGTCCTGACGACACACAGAATCCACCTTTCCTCATTTTGTCCAACACTGTCTCTGCACCTGTCAGTCAGGTGCTTGACAGAAACTTGATAACAGATGAGCTATGATAACAAGGTGTAGATTTTAAAATATGATTCCTTTTGAATTTTACGGTCCAAAGTTCATAGAAGTTTGAGTTTATTTTAAACTGAAGAAAATGTTGTGCAAATCAATAAAATTGTGATTCTGTTAAGAATACAATGTTCTTACAGGCCAAAATCCTTACATTATTGTGCAAGGGTTTGAATCATGACTTTGCTTCCTTTAATTATTCGTCTCCCCAATACACAGGCAAATCAAAATGTGCTGGGAGGCTGAAGATAAATACTGTTTAAGAAAGAGAAGGAAAACACTTGCAGGCTTAGACTTTAGGTGAGGCCACCTGAGCTCATCAGGCACATTTTAATTGCTGAATAAGCTGAATCTGGAAGGACAAAGTCTATAATGAGTGTCTCATGGTGATGTCCTTTGCTGGTGGTGAAAGGATTTCTACTCATACCTTGTTTCCAGGACTGGCTCCTCCGTTGGAACTTTTGTTGCCCTTGCAGTTGTTGACATAGGATTTTCCTTCCTTAAGGACTAGGCTTTGGCATGCAACAGCTATAGTTCGGTGTGTATTTATGAGTAATGCTATGTACTTCTGATTAATTTTAAAAAGACTGCTCAGCAGAGAAAATTCTTCTTGAACAATTACTAATTTACTACATAAAGCAATGAAGGCAACTATACAGAAATGACTAGCATTTTACCAATGTCATTTGAATGTAGCTTGGTGCAAATTTTAATAATCTTGTAATGTATAATGGTCTACTATTTTCCAAAAGTCAATTTAAAGATTAAATTTTGCTTTCCTTTCACCGATTTCCTACACAGGTTTAAGCTTCAGTTATGATATCTTCACAAATTAAACTACGTGGCCTGAATAAAACACTGTCTTTTGAAACAATTGTGCACAATGGAGGAGAAAGGAAATAAAATTCAAAACTAATCCTAAATTGCTTAACCATCCAAATTAGGCTAGCTGTAACAAGGACAACTGCCTCTGAAAAATTTGATATTGTCAGTTTAGAACACTAATTGAAGCAATTGTATTTGCTTATGTGTGGGTAAGCTGCAAATTTGCATGCAAGGTATCCTGTTGTAAGTGATGCCTGGGAGATACTATAGATGAAAAGCGATGAAGTTTCTTCTCGAATTGTAGTAAAGATGAATCAGTTCTTGTACTCACAGCAAAGGTTTAGTTGACTAGTTTAAGTAACAGTAATCTTTTAATGCCATCCCAATTGACAACTATTTTGAATAGAGATGCCCAAACATTTGTCACTTTTATAGTCACCATTCATAACTCCCACTTCCCAAGAGTCATTAGAAGGATTTCCCACTCTCTAAGAGTCATTAGGAGGATTTAACTTTTGCAGGTAATAATTTACTCAGTCTACAAGTAACATCATCAGAGATCCTTTGCAAACAAAAGAAATAAGAGCAGAAATTGAACATTTGGCCTCTCAAGGCTGCTCTGCTATTCAATAAAAGCATGGCTAAATTGCTTGCGTTTTGAATTTCATATTCCCTTCTACCACTGACTAACCTTTTGATTGTCCTTCCTAATGGGAATTTACCTAATATTTAGTGACCCCACCTCCAGCACTTAGTGGCAGTAAGTTCCAAAAATGTACAACCCTCAGAAGAAAATTCCCTTCTCTGTACTAAAAGTGAAGCCCTAATTTTAAAACAGTGGCTTTCGTTCTGGACAGACTGACAAGAGGAAACACCCTTTCCATGTTTACCTTGTCCATTCAGGATCCTGTACATTTCATTTAAGTCAACCCTCCCTCCGCTTCTAATACAGTCATAGAGCTCTAAAGCGTGGAGACAAGCCCTTCGGCCAAACTTGCCCATACTGCCCAGTTTTCACAATTAAACTAGTCCTGTTTGCCTGCATTTGGTCCATATCCCTCCATACCTATCCCATCCAGATACCTGTCTAAACACTTCTTAAATGACAATATTGTACTCGCTTCCACCACCGGCAGCCTGTTCCATTCACTCATTACCCTCTGTGTGAAAACATTTGCTTCTCTGCACCCTTTTGTATCTCTAGTGTTAGACTCCCCTAATAAGGGAAGAGCTATTTGCTTTGTACCTTATCCAAGCCTCTCATGATTTTATAGACCTTTATAAGGTCACCTCTAGTCTCCTATGCTGGAGGGAAAAAAGTCCCAGCCTATCTAACCTCTCCTTATAACCCAAACCTTCTAGTCCGGGTAGTATCCTAATAAATCTTTTCTGCATTCTTTGCAGTTTCATAATACCCTTCTATAGTAGGGTGACCAGAACTGCATGCAGTACTCCAAATGCAGCCTCATCAGTGTCTTGTATAGCGTCCCCCGTAGAAAAAAATCCAATCTATCCCCATAAACATCCCACTCATTCCAGGTATGAAACTAGTAAATTTCGGTGCAGTCTTGGTGGGCTGAAGGGTCTATTCCTGTACTGTCCTGTTCTTTGTTCCATTAACAATGCCTCAATGGCATCATCCATAATTAGTGGGAATACAGTGAAACAAATGCTAGTGGACAAATTTAATGGAGTAGACACTGCCTGTACGGCCAAAAGAAAAACTCTGCTTCTATGGCATGTTTCCCCAACTCTCAAATGAGAAACATTCATGAGGCCTCAGTGCATCAGGTCAAACATGAATAAAGAAACCTCCTGTTAGTTACCAGGTACCACTCACCTGTCACCACTAGATCAGTTTAGGATATCTGGTCGGCGCAGAGGAATTGGATTGAGGGTCTGTTTATGTGCTGTATAACTCTATGACTCTTACATAACTGCTAATGTGCTGTGTACCATTTTTGCAAAGCTGTGTGTTTTTTAAAAACAAACCAAATGTTGAAAATTGTTAACTTCAGACTTTTTGTTTGGTAAGGGTCACAAAAACAATTAAAATGTATGAAATGATTTATTTTTCATGCAGAAATTCTAAAACTGCAACAAACAAACAATAAGGTCCCATAACCAAGCACTGTATTTTTTATCAAAGTAATTTTATTTCTTAAGTAGAATTTCTGGAAAAAGAAGTGCAAGGGCAATGAAATTTGCAAATACTCACTAATATGGTTGATTTTCCATCATATAACAACCTTCTAACACGATAATAGAAACTGTCTCCACCTTGGGCCTGAAAATCAAGTGCAAGAATATTTGTAATAACTGTCAAACATTAAAACACAAAAGCAAGACAAATGGAATCCCAGAAATAAAATCAAAAATGGTTTAAATTTAAGACCATGAACTGGGCTTGAATGCTACAGAGAAAGCTTGTAACAAACTTGCAAACTTCACAGCATAATTCAGTCAAAGTGGCAGTAATTGGTAATCTGAAAATGTCCACTAGGACAAATACACCATTCTCTTTGAATTTATGAGCAATTTCAACACAATGCTTAATAAGCTCAGCATCATACCCAGACACACCAAGGAGAACTTCTTCTGAAATTGAAACATTTTCGATATCCTTCACAGAAAAAACTCAAATTCAAACTCTCTCATGAAATGTTTTCTTCTGTTCAGTACAGGATACTCCCAGAAAGCAAGCCCACACCACCTATGTTCCAAATCTTAACCTTGTGCATAATGCAGCTTATGACTGGCAGTGGTGAATATAGGGAAGAGAGAGTGGGAGAAATTTTTACCGTTAAACATACTATTTAAAGATACATGTGTTAGAACTATGTATTATCCTTAAAACTTACTTGTGCTGATCCTTCCATGATGTCATTAATAAACTTAATTAAATCCTCGATGCTCTCAATTGCTGTTTCTGGTATAAAGTACTGTTGGTTTGAAGTATTCAGTACAACAATGGAAGGAACGATGACCTCACTGCAAGAAAACGCAGAAGGGAATTTTTTAAGAAGAAATAGTAACAATTTATACAAAATAATTTAACATTTCAGCTTACACTTCTATTGAAGATTTTGATCAACTTTGTTAAACTGAACAGATAATAAATATGCATGAATGAACTTATAGTCCCATCTAGTGGTGGCATCTAGAAATACACCTGAAGCAGCTATAGTACATCTTGTAGACGATATCCACACCTGCTGCTTGTCAGTGGTGAAGGTAGTGAATATTAAAGTTAGACAATGGGGTGCCAAACAGACTGCTTTCTCTTGGAGGGTGTTGACCTTCAAGTGTCAGTGGCATTGTACCCATCCAGGCCAGCGAGAAGTATTGTACCACGCTCCTGATTTGCGTCTTGTAGGCGCTGGACAGATTTTGAGGAGTTAAAGAGATGGTCACTGCAAGATTCCCAGCCTCTTACATGTTCTTGCCAAAAAAAAACTGGGCTCTCCCAAAAGATCAGTAAGTGCACTGCAGCACGTTATCAAACAAGCAGTTAGGAAGGTGAGTTTGATCTTGCAACCACATTAGCTGCACTGTAGCCACTAAGCCTCCTTCAATAGCAACTTCCAAAACTACAACCTCTGCCACCTAATATGGAAGCAGCACCACCTACCAGTCTCCCTCCAAGCCACATATCATTCTGACTGGGAACTATATCACTGTTCCGTCACTAACACTGGGTTAAAATCCTGGAACTTCCTTCCCAACAACACTGTACGTATACCTACCTAGCATGGACTGTAGTGGTTCAAAAAAGTGGTTCACCATCAGCTTCTCGGGGACAATTGCAGATGGGCAATAAATGCTGATCTAGCCCATGACACACTTATCCCATGAGTGAATTTAACAAGTCTTTAAAAAGTTACTTTTGTTTTAACTTCATGTTCTACAGTAATCAGCTTGATTCTTGATCCTATTCAAAATGTAGTACAGCAAATGTTTTATTAACCAGCACCTATGGGACCAGGAGTGTACCGGTTGATCAAATAATTGGTTGATCAAGAGGTCCACATATTCAATATAAAAACACACACTAAGTAATAGACATGTAATGCAGAGGGTGTATATATCACCGTTACACTTTGTTTACAGCATGAATCACTTAAATAATAATGCAACTTTGCCTTAAATAAAACTTACCGGCAGTTAGCCTTATCACTCGCACCCTCAACTAACCACTTAGGCATTGCAGTAATACAGTAAATTTCCAGTATTTCAGGTGCGTAATTTTTGCCAGTTCATAAAGTGCAGGTTAAAACAAAGATTACTGCAGTTTTGAAACATGCATAAGTAACTTAGTTTTAGTGTGGATGTCCCATCGATTTAGTGAATTTTCCAAAGGCTGTAGTAGTAATGGGGAACAACGAAATGGCAGAAAAATTGAATAGGTACTTTGCGTCAGTTTTCATAACAGAAGACGCCAGCAACATACCAGAACTTCAAGAGAGTCGGGGGCCAGATGTAAGTGTAGTGGCCATGTAAGTGTAGTGGCCATCACTAAGGAAAAGGTAATGGGGAAGCTGAGAAGTCTGAAGGTGGATAAATCACTCAGACCAGTTGGACTATACCCCAGAGATCTGAAGAATCTGAAGGGAAGTGGGATTGCCATCATTGGTGCGAAGGCTTTGGTGCTGCAGAAGTGTCAGTGGGAAGAAAATCCATTCATGTACTTGCTTCTGAATGCTGTTCAAGGATCCCACTGAAAATGTGGGTGTGTGCAAGAGATAGGATACAGTTCAACTATGATGCCTCTTACTATAAAGTAACTTGTTGGCATACACCATCTAAATCACTTCAATTAGACACCAGAAGGCTGCCAAGGGTCACCAAACTAGAGAAAGTGTCTTCACAAGAAGACTGATAAAACGTAAAACATAAACTTTACTGGCAGTGGGGCCATTTTCACCCAAGGCACAATTTTGAAATTTGCAGCAGGATCCTATTTATTAGAGGGCCTCTGAAAATTTCCTTATCCCAGTGTCATCAAAATTGATGAGGCACATATATTTTAAGTTTTTCTCTGGGTTACTGTCTTCTCTGTTAATCCATGTGCAATTCCCTACACAGAAATGAAGACAAAATCCTGAAAAGATTAAAATATGTGGTACACTTCATAAAGATACCATTACATCTTCTCAGTACTTCAGTGTCAGACTCCACCCCACCGCGCCCCCCAAAAAAATTCTGCAATACCTAAATTCACTATTGAGAAATATTTGGTATCATTGTTCCTCTTTTGCTGTCACTCACTGTTCCTATAATCTCCCATTTTGTTTTTGGACTCGATTTCTATTTAACTCTCCATTTCTGTCTGTACATTCCGAGAAACTCTTTCTCTTGCTCTCTGTGAGATTTTCCTTTCCTTGATACTTGGAAAGAGAAAGCAATAGTATGTTCCAAACGCAAACAAAACCATGGAATGAAAAATGGGCCAGTTGCAGTGTATTCTTTATAAACTTATCCCTAAAATCCACAGATTAAGAGTGAAAAGGTGAAACAAGTCATGTAATACAGAAAATGAAAATTACTATTTATTTAGTGCTGCCCTCACCTCGAGTCAAAGAAAGCTACATCTACAAAGTTTCAGACAACATAATCACCAATGATTTTAACATAAAGAAACATTCACTGTTGAAGTCATTGGAATTATTCAAAACAGATAATGGTACATTAAGAAAGGTCCTAGCACATCTTAAAATTTCATAACAATTAACTAATTAGTTAAAAATGAGTAAATACTTACTCCATTATGACACTGTTGATGTAGTCAGCTCCATCTATATGCCCAAACTGGAAATTCCTGTCAACAAATTGACACAATATGTTTCAAGTAAATGTATTTTAAGAATCCTTAGCACACCCCCTGAAACAGTACTCATTTCCATAGATCAGAGCTGTGTTGATGAACACAAGTTTTTGCCTTCAGTGCAGAGTTCAGTCAGTGCTGTAAAGCTGTTGTTGCATAAGAGGTGCTCATGTTGATGTTGAAATCCCATGGCACTTTTCAAACAGGAGCAGTAAAGCTCTTTCAGCAAAGTGCCCTCAATCAATATCACTTGAACAAAAATCATCTTTCCTTTATCTCATTGTTAATTGTGCAGTCTCATCTATGTAATGTGACGTGTGAATTTCTTTGAATTACAATTGATTGTTGTTGGCCTCGGAGCATGTCGAGATGCCATGACACTTGGAAGTGCGCTTTATAAATACAAGGCTCTCTTTCAAGGAACGACAGAAGGTATTTTCTAATCATCCTGTTCAGAGATGTTATTAGATACCTCTGCAGCAGGTGGGACTGGAACTTGGCTCTTCTGGCCCAGAGATAGGGGGATACTACCACTGTGCCAAGAGAGGAATGACAGAACGATAGAAATTTAAACATTCAACTTACTGCATTTGCATCGATTCTGTTTCAAAAAAAATCTATTTGCCTCAATCCACTGCCTTATCACCATATCCCTCACACATTTTCTTCTAGATGTTTATTTTGTTTATTTTAATAAGAAAGTGGATAAATTTTCAGTCCTATAACTTCATGAAACCTCATAAGCAATGATTTGAAACTACGCCCTCTATCCTTTGGATCATCACAGAATCAAACAGCATCAAACAGCACAGAAACACACCCTTCGGTCCAACCAGTCCATGCCAAACATAATCCCAAACTAAAATAGTCCCGCATGCCTGTTATGACTTTTTTTCTCTATCCAGATGCTTATCCACTGTATCCCCATCTGGCAGCCTTGAATGTATCTACTTCCATCACACATTCAGTCTGTGTTCTAAATTCAAACACTTGCTGTACTTAAAAGTTTTAACTTGTTATTGGTTCTTTTGCCAATTACCCTAAACTGGTCTCTTCTGGTTCTTTCCTTTTCCATCAATAGGAAGTTACCCTCATCACTATGTCCAGATGTCTCATGATTTTAAACAGTTTGATCAAATCTCCTCATGGATCATGGTTTCCCATTTGGGAAATGAGCCACCTTTCTCAACCACTGTAGAATCAGGTGACTGGGAAGATGGTGATTTTAGCCCTTTTTGGCTAATAATTGACCATGCAAAAGGGCCTTAACTGCTGGTGAATTGAGAAAGTCACCTGGACTGTCTCATCTAGCATTTAATTGCTGAGGCAGAGAAAAAACATGTTTCTTTCCAGCGTTAACTTGCCCTAATTCCCCTTCTCACCACTTCTCCACAGAGGGAAAAATCATGGCCATGATCCTATGTGACTTTTTAACTGTTTCTCAACCTTCCCTGCCTCTCATCATTCCTACCAAAATGTACCACTTTTCTGCATTAAATTCCACCAGCCAATGTATTCTTGAATTCTATCACTATTTTGTGTCAATTTCAAGCATTGAAATTGTGCCTTGCATAACCAAATCTAGGCAATGAATTTTCATCACCTGAAATAGCAGTCCTGCTACTGACCTCTGGAGATCCCAAATGCATATCTTCCCTAAAAAAAGGCTTTAACCGCAAAGTCATACAGCATGGAAACAGACCCTTTGGTCCAGCCAGTCCATGCTGGCCATAATCCCAAACTAAACTAGTCCCACCTGCCTGCGCTTGACCCATAACCCTCCAAACATTGCTTATTCATGTAGTTACCTAAATGTCTTTTAAACATTGCAACTGTACCTGCATCCACCATTTCCTCTGGAAGTTCATTCCACACACAAACCACTCTCTGCAAAACAACTGCTTCTAATGTCTTTTTAAAAATGTTCTCCTCTCACCTTAAAAATATGTCCCCTAGTCTTGAAATCCCCCACCCTCGGGAAAAGACACCTCATTATTTTATAAAGCTCTATAAGGTCACCTCTCAACCTTCTATACTCCACTGAAAAAAATCCCAGCCTATACAAATTCTCTTTATAACTCAAATGCTCCATTCCCAGCAACATCCTGGTAAATCTCTTCTGAGCCCTCTCCAGCTTAATGTCACTACCCCCCATTTCCCGTTCATGCTACCACTTTTTACTCCATGGGGTTCAACTTTGCTGGCTAGTCTATTCCGTACTGTTTTATCCAAAACCTTTTGGAAGCACAAATGCATCAACTACATTACACCCAAGAACCATCTCTGTTACATCACCAAAAATTTAATAACTTTAGCTAAATACAAATTGCCTCTTTTAAAATCTACGCTGGTTTTCATTTAAAAAACTGGACTTGTTCAAGCAACTCTTAACTTTGTCCAAGAATGTTACTTTCAAAACCTTTCCAGTACCAAGATTAAACTGACAAACTGGAGTTCCTGGATAGATCTTTACAACATTCTTCAACTAAGGGTGTAACACTTCTTAATTCACAAGTCCTCCAGCACGACTCCCTTAACCAAGGTGGCATGGGAAATTAAGGCCAGTACCTCCATAAATTCCAACTTTCCTTCAGCATTATCTGATGTCCTGGTTTTTTAATTAGCTTTAAGTACAAACTCACTTTCTAATACCTTTGTTAGCCCATCCAGCATCTTGCTTAATTCCTATTTTGGCAGCATTTTCTTTCTTTGTAAAGACAGGAACAAATTATTAATTTAGTACCTCAGCCACATTCTTTGCCTCCATGTGCAGATTCCTTTTTGGTGCTTCATCAAACCCACCCACCTCCTCTTGCTTGGCTATTACTATTCATATTGCGGAAACCCCTTTATGTTTAAAGAGAAGTTAGATAGGAATTAGATGAAGTTTTATTTGGAATTTGGCTGTTCTCTCTCATAGAGAAATATTCTATCATCATCTTGTTGAAACAACTTGGGACAGAAAAACATGCAAGTGGAAAGCTACATATTCAACAGAAACCAATCTTGTTGGCAATCGGTGACTTTGCATTAGGGCAGGACAGTCATGTAAGACGTACAGGCAGGTTTGCTGGCAGTTTACTATGAGCAATAAAACATTCGCAACTCTTTTACAACCCTATTGTGGTATGTTTGTTTGGAATTATTTATGGATAATATCAATTTAAATAAATCATGTTAAAATACAAACACTACATTTGCCAACAAGATTGGTTTCTGTTGAATATGTAACTTTCCACTTACATGTTTTTCTGTCCCAAGTTGTTTCAACAAGATGATGAAATGATTATGAAGTACTGCAATAATACCTTAACTAAAATTTTCTTCGTTAAATGTTATGTTCCTTTTGCAATACCCTATTCTGTTCTGATTACCATATAGATTAGGTGGTATTGAAATAGATACAATTTCAGAACTTCAATACTGAAATAAATATGTACATGGAAAAGGTGCAGAAGTAGGCCATTTGGCCCTTTGAATGAGGCTGATCATCCTGCGCAGTACCGTCCTCTTGCTCAGTACCCTGTTCCCTTTTTCTCCCCACACTGATTCTTTTAGGTCTAAGAACTATGTTTAATTACTTCTTGAAAACTCCTTGTTTTGGCCCCAACCAATATCTGTGGAAGAGAATTCCACAGGCTCACCATTCTTTGGGTGGAGAAATTTTCTCATCTCAATCCTAAATGACCTACACTGTATCCTTAAATTGTGACCCCTGGTTCTGGACTCCCTGGTCATTGGGAACAGTCTTCCTCTGTGCGACTACAATTATTCTGAAGAGGATGAATTATGATTTCAGAAGTTTTCTTTCAGACAGGTAGTATTTAGAGAATCACAGAATTACATAATACATTTGGCCCGTCACGAAAGCGTTTACAAAGAGTTAGGCAATTAAACCCACTCTTTCACACAGACCATTTTTTCCTTATCAAAGGTATTTCTGATTCCTTGTTGAATGTTAGTATTGAATCTGCTTCAACGGCCGTTTCAGGCAGGATGCTCCAGACCATGAGAACTCCTACATAAAGAAACTGTCACCTTCCCTTTCGTGCTTTATGCCAACTGTCTTAAATCCACCTCCTCTGTTTATTGACTGTTCTGGCAGTGTAAGTAATTTCCAACTATGTATAATATTAAAACTCATAAGTTTGAGCATCTCTATTAAATATCCCTCAAATATCTATGCTTGAATCGTAGTTTCTCTCATCTATCGAGATGAAGTCCCTCAGCCTATTTCCTCTGCACCGATTTCAAAGCCTGGCATCCTTCCCAAGGTATGGTCATCAGAAGTGAACATAATTCATTTCGAAGTGAGTCAATGTTCAATAAAGTTCAGCATAACTTCCCTACTTCTGTGCTTTATGCTAATCATTTTAAGACCTAGATCTTGCACGTGTTTTAAACTGTTTTAACCACACTGTCACCATCAAAGATTGCATATGTGAACACCAGGTCTCAGTTTCTGAACTATCTTTAAGCTTCTACTATTTTGTTTAAAATGCTTCTCTTAAATTCTTCCTTCAAGTCAAATTTCTATGCACTAAATTTCACCTGTAACGAGTCTCGCCCATTTCATCAGACTTCGTTTTCCTGAAGTCTGCTACTATCCTCTTCAATGTGTTTACTACATCCTCAAAATATTTATTAACAAACCTGTGAAACTGTTCCCTGTATGCAGTAGCAACTTCATGAGTAATGGCCTTTAAGCTGAAAAAAGATTTTTAAAAAATTAGATGTTTTACAACATACATATGCATTGCAGTTTATCTTGCATTTTATACATAATACCAGTGCATGGAACAAGAACACTATTAACTCAGCAAAATGCTGCTATCCTTCCAACCCATTCCTTTAATCAACTAACTAACGTGTGTAAAATTTCACCCAAGTTATCAAAGACTTTCACCGAACTATAAAAGGCTACTCTGAAGCATAGCAGAAGACCATTGCTTCTCAAGTGCAACACTTCAAAAACAGATGAGGGACAAGAAATGGAATAGCAAATGGAAAACAAAGCAAAGTGCGTGAACATGGCACGTGAGATGGTGAAGTTATATAAGGAGGATGTAATACACAACAAGTAAGAGATGAAAGATGAAGAATGAAGAATGAGAGTACAAGGAGGAGAGAATAGAGCAATAGAGAGTTTAGTGGTGGGTTTGTTGGGTATGAGAGTCATATGGAGATAAAAATACAAACTAGGAGCAGGATTTGCCATTTGACTCTTTGAACCAGCTAGGCCATTCAAAATGGTTACAGCTGATCTTCTATCTCAATGCCATGTTTCTGCTTTCCTCTTCATACTTTTGATGACTTTAAAATTTAAAAACGTACGTATATTTTTCTTGACTACATTCAGTAAAATGGCCTCCATAGCTTTCTGTAGTAGAGAATGCTACAGGTTCACTACCCTTCAAGTGAAGTTCTAGTATCCACATTATAAAAGGGCCATGATTGTACTGGAAAGGGCACAAAGGAGATTTACTAGGACATTGCCTGGACTGGCAAGTTTTAGTTATGAAGAGAGAATGGATAGCTTGCAGTTGTCTTCTTTGGAACATAGGAGACTGAGTGAGGACATGCCAGACATGTATAAAATTATGAGGGGAATCGATAGGGTAGACAGGATGGAATGTTTCTCCTTGATGGAGGGATTGATGGCCACTGCATAAATTTGAGCTAACAGACAACAGGTTTAGAGGGGCCAAATGCTGGAAAATGGCATTAGAATCGTTAAGTGCTTTGTTGTTAAACTGGTGCAGATTCAATGGGCTGAAGGGCCTTGGTCTGGGCTGTAGATTTCTATGACTCTGTGTCTATCCTGTATCCAGAGACAGCGTCCCCTGGTTCTGGTCTCCCCAGTTATGGAAAACATTCTCCCTACAATTCGTCTGTCCAGCCCTGTTGGAATTTTATAAACTTTAATCAGATTCCCTTTCATCCTTACAAACCCTGGTGAATACAGGCTCAATAGAATAAATCTCTCCTCATAGGTCAGTCCTGTCATGACCAGTCTCAGGCTGGCAAACCTCTGCTGCAATCTATGCAAGTATACCCTTTCTTAGGTAGGGAGTTGAAAACCGCAGACAAATATTCCAGGGGTGGTCTCACCAATGTCCTGCATAACTGCAGGATGACATCTCTACCTTTGAACTCAGTTAAAGGAGGGATGAAGCCATGAGAGATGCAATTGAGCATCCAAATATGAAGGGGAAGGACAGGATCAGTGATTAATCCATGGGTGATTGTGGAAATAATGATGTTTTTGAAAGGGATCGCATTGCTTTTGATGTGCTGGCTACGACTGGATAGACAAGAGTGTAAAGTAAAATCAATTAGGAGTAAGCCGCTGAGCTGGACAACACAAAAAAAGAAAAAGATAATTATTTATTCAACAATGTCAAAGTCTGTCCCAAGGTGAGGAGAAATAATGTACCATAGTTAGTCAAATGATGGCACTCCTGACTTTGGCATTATGGTATAGATGGAAACTAGATTGTAGAGTTTCCAAAAGGAAGTCTCAAAGCGAGGCAACATGTTCAATAGCATTAGCAATAAAAAAAAAATGCTGTAATTAAGATGATGGTTTTCAAGGACAGAGGAGTCAAATGGTGGAATTTGAGGGTAAGTGATGACAGTGGTTTCCGAAGTCAAAAGGACAGTACCAGAGGTGAGAGAAGTACTTACCAGTATCAGCTAATAAGAGAGCCAGGAATGGGAGTATAGCGGGAAAGGACTCCAAAGAGTAGGTGTTACATTTTACAGATGAGATGAGGTCAGAGATGGTGTCACGAGAGATGTGACTTGGAAATCTGAGACCATTCATAATTTATTAAGCATGAGCGAAATTATTTTTGAATACAAATTGAAAGGATACATCATTGATACAGAAGATTCACATCAACCAAATACAATAAAGTGGGAAACTAATCACTAATTCCTCAACAATGTGGGAGATGGAATGGAGGTAGGTTGAACAAATGAACATGCAACTAGAAAAGTGGTACAAAAATTATAAATGTTAGATTTCTGGGGCAGTTGATGGGTTACACTTTAGCAGAACTGGGGCTAATATTCATGTAAGGAGATTTGCTGTTGCTGTTGTGGAGGGTTTAAACGGTCAGGGGAATGGGAATCTAAGTGGGAATTCAGACAGAATAAAAACAAAGCTATTGTTACAGCTGGAAAGTGGAAAGCAGCAGACACAAACCTCAGAGTCAAACTACAGAGTAGCATTAAGAAGGCAGATTTAAAAGCACTTCTCTGAATACACACAGTATTTACAACAAGATAGGTGAATTGATGGCCAACAAGGGCATAGACAGTTTTAGTTTTTGTATTCTGCAATCAGAAAGAGTTAATTAATAAACTTGCTGTAAAAGAACTTTTAGGAAATACCACAGTATGGTAGAATTTGCTATTAAATTTGAAAAAGACGTAGGTTCAATCTGAAATCAGGATCTTAAACCTAAACAAGACAATGATGCAGATATGAGAAAGCTGGCTGTAGTAGATTGGAAAAATACAATAGAATGGTTGCTATTACATAGGCATGGCTAATATTTAAAGAACTAAATGTTTGATTTTCAAAAAAACAACTTCCTTTAAGGCTAAAGTGCCCAATGGGAAAGGCATGAGTGCTATGGCTAACACAGGACACTAAATAAAATATTAGATGAACCAAGGAGGTTTAAAAATGTTGCAAGCCTGGGTAAGGGAAAATTTTTAAATTCATCAAAGCATGATGAAGAAATTGATAAAGAAAAGGAAAAGAGAATATGTATATAAAACAACAGGAAACAAATATTGGGACATGATGACCTTCACCCTAGAGTATTGAAAGAGATGCCTACAGAGATAGTGCATGCATTGTTGATCATCTTTCAAAATTCCTTTAATTCTGCAACAGTGACCACAGAATGAAAGGTTGCTAATATGACCCCACTGTGCAAAACAGAGAAAACAGGGAACAAGGGACCTGTTTGGAGGGAAGTGAGTAGTAGGGAAAATATTAGAGTCCATTTTCAAGGATGTGATTATTGGATATTGAAATAGTTGTCTGACTGGACAGATTTAAGCATGATGGACAAACCTGATACAGAGTTTGAGCATATTTTTAGCAGATCAATAAGAGGATACACAATGGATGTGGTGCACTTAGATTTTCAGAAGGATTCTGGTAAAGTCTGACACAGGAGGTTAGTAAACAAAATTAAAGTGCATGGGATTGAGGTAATAAAGTACAATGGACAGAGGATTGGATAACAGGCAGAAACTGCACAGGGGGTTCTCCTTTAACACGTGTTCCGGCAATGTGAATTGGCTATAAAGCGATTGACAAATAGGGGAACGCTACTTGTTAAACGCAAACTTGTGTTGGTTATAATACAATCCATAGTCAATGGAATCACATGTCATAAACCTCAAATAATATCACACAAAGAGCAACTGTCTTATTAGGAAAATGCGTGAAGTCTTAGTTTGGCGAGTTTATGCAGAACACGTTAAATGCATTATTTAAAAATGCAGCTCATTTAACAGAAGAATGGACACCGATGTTAAATTGACAGTACAAGTAAAAAAATGAAGTCTTGTTTAAAATAACGAGTGCTGTTAAAACATGCACGTTTGTGTGTAGTAGTTTTGCCTAGATTTTGTATTTATTACATATTTAATATGTAAGAATTTTTGAACTTGCTAATGCAAATCATTTATACCAAAAGCTGTCTGTGCTACAACCTACTCTTTTTCAGCACTATTTGAACACAATGTTATTCAGGTTTACAACACATTTTAATCCTACAATTAACTTCATTGCCAATGGGCTACAGAAAAAAGGTCAGATTCCTCTGCTTCACTTATCTGAAAATCTATCTAGAAGTCTGCCGATGGAATGTCAGGTCAGATCAGCATTTAAATGCAGGAGGGAATTTTACTAAAAACTGCCGACATGTCAATTATAGGGGAGTTTCATGGAGGGTTGCTGGCTGTGAGCTCTATCTCACACAATTTTGCACTGCTCACCTCTTTTGGATCATGCTCACACTATCATGCAGTACTGACCATTGCTGGGATTTCCAGTATCAGAACTCTATTTAAAGCCCAGCCGTCACTTCACTGCAAAGACAAGGTCAGATTCGTAAATGTAATGCCTCCTTGCAGCATCATGTGTCTGATAAACTGTCATTATAACTGCAGCTATAAGAATGAAGCTAGGCAGGTGAGGAAAAATTTTGGAAAATGTAATTATGTGTCCTTTGTGCCCCTAATCCCGCTATTCCCATAGGCCCCATTACGTTTATAGCGTGATTTTCTATAATATGATGTGCGCTGAAACGCAACTATTGTGTTATAGCAGAACCTCCTGTAGTAGCAATAATTGGGTCATTCTCAGATTGGCAGACTGTGATCAGTGGGGTGCTGCAAGGATTAGTGCTTGAGCCCTGGGTGTCACAAAATAACCTGGATACAGGGACTAAAATGTAATATTTCCAAGTTTGTAGATTTGGTGGGAATGAGAGTTTTGAGGAAGACGCAAGGAGGATTTAACAGGTTAAATAAGTGGGCAAGAGCAAGGCAGATAAATACAGTATGCATAAATGTGAGGTTGTCTATTTTGATACGATGATCAAAGGTGCATAAGCATCTCTTAGATGGAAGATTGGAAAGTGATGCAGTTACAAGAGGAATAAGGACCTCTAGGTTTCTACGTCACTGAAAGCTAGGATGCAGGCACAATACGTAATCTGGAAGACAAATTGTATATTAACTTTATTGCGGGATGATTTGAGTCAGGAGCAAAGGAGTCTAGCTTCAATTTTGTAGAGCACTAGTGAGATTGCATCTAGGGTATTGAGTGCAGCTCTGGTCCCCTCTCTAAGGAAGGAAATTCTTGCCTTAGAGGGAGTGCAGCCACAATTCATCAGACTGAGTCCTGATAGACTTGAGGAGGCTGGGACTGTATTATCTGGAGTTTAGAAGACTGACAGGCAACTTACAAAATTATTAAAACAGATAGCATAGACATAAAGAATGTTTCCCTGCCTGTAGGTTAAAGAACCAAGGGGGACAGCCTCAGGTTAAAATGTAGATCATTTAGGAATGATGTGGAAGAACTTCTTCACCTACAGGGTGGTGAATCTTTGGAATTCTCTAAAAAGACTGTAAAAGGTCAATCAATAAGCTCACGAGAGAGACTGAAAGATTTCCAATTACTAATGACATCACGGGCATGGGAATAGTGAAGGAATATGGCATTGAAATAGATGCTCAGCATGATCTAGAATGGCAGAACAGGTTCAAAAGGCTGAATGGCCTAATCCTGCCCCGAATGTTCGCAAACTGAACTTGTGCTTACTTGTGAGGGAAAGAGACAGTAGTGTGAAGGATAAGCTTGTCCTAACATATTACAATTTATTTTGAGCTTTGAGTTGAGAAATGCCACTGAGGTAGCCATAACAAAACTCTAAACCTTAATACACATGACCTATTAACAACTAATGACGATATTCAGTTTTGTCATCGCAGTTACCACACTCCAATGAAAATGATGGTTGAAAAACTGGTAGAAAGCAATTTTTACAACTAGTAGAATCACAGGCATCTTCTTAAAGGTGCCCATCAGGGCAAAAACCTGCTGAAGCCAGAGAAGGGCCAAGCTTTGTTGACAACCAACAATGCACAACTGAAGAAAGCACTCTTGCAAGATTTGACAATTAAACTTATTAATTTGTTTGAAGGTTGGCAAACTCTATCTTTACTGTAATCTGAGGACAGGTTCAGATTGAATTTGTTCATAATTACAGTGCTAGAAATGATGTGAACATCCTGCAGGTGCTGAAACTAGAGCAAGTGTGCAGATAACTTAGCATTCATGCCAACCTCGCAAAGTGGCCTTGCGTGGATACAGAGCTTCGAAACAGATAAGAACTCGGAAGAAAAATTACAGAATATTTATACAGAATCAATTTGCATGTGCTATTTTTCACACATGTTGGGACCAGTTTATCTTGCAACTAACAAAGAAGTGAATACAAATTCGTAACGGCAATAAAAAGCCAACAGTTGAAATTTCCAAGGTTCAAGAATTTTTCTTAGTCTTTCTAATTTCTTGTTTTCTACCTTATCTTACTTGTTCTGTGTGAAACACAAGTATGGTAAAAATATTCAAGTTTCAATGCACTGGATTATTTTTTGAACAGAATGTCTTTAATGTGCAAATATGTATTTTATATATCCACTGTATTTTATATAAATCAATACTGAAAGAGGAATAATTCAATGAAACTGCTTATTGGAAACTGAACTGATGACAATGCTAATATTGCATGTAAAGAATGATGACTGCTTAATCAGAATATCCCACCTTTAAGCAGTTAACCATTCTACATTCATGCTGGGGAGTGTGAGGCATGCTTAGATCAATACAGGAATTGATTGAGGACCAACATAAGGATCTAGAGTATGATGTTGAAAAACTGATGACAGATACATTGATTGAAGTAAAAGCAAAAGCATTCAGTACAAAAATTCAGCGTGCAATTCTGTAATTTTATTGGCACCTGTTAATCAGATCTTATTATATGTAAGGATTCCCCACCCCTACATGATTTATTTTAACTTCCACAGGACAATGGCACCAAAACCATGCAATATCAGTTACATCGTAAGTATCTTTGGAGGATGTGTGGGGGTATGACTGAAAAGTAGAAAACAATGCTTCATACAATTTCTTATGGTTCTCACGAAAGGTGCAATCGAGACAAAATATAGTCTTGCACTAAGGCAACTGGGTCATTTGCATTAATACCCAAAACACAGAGCTCAACTCTATCCTCATTTGCATGACCACGTTCATCACAGTACATATGCAAGATAACATTAAAAGCTTGTTGTGAAAAGGAAACCACCAACCCAATATTAAATATTTATTTTTTTCTAGCAGGGTGACAAAAAGAGATAATTATAGAAATATCACTTTTTGGTGTACCTAGCAATATTCAACTGAATTTATATAGCTCAGGATACAGGAAAGCTGTGATCATAATTGAACATATTTTCTCAAGGTTTTGTTGCATGCCTCTTGTCACCTTACCCAATAAAGGCAGACTTTGACACACAAGCTTGCCCAGCCCTCACCTGCCCGATATTTTGATTCACTGGCCATAACGTGCTCAAAGAAAAGGAAAAACTTATTTTTAAAAGGTTGGTATGGATGTTTCCCAAGGTTGAAGTATCCAGCAGATTAAACTGGCAATTCATGGAGTTTCCAGCGCAATTCTGAAGGGCTAGCAATTCTAAGGAACATCGTATTACCTAGTATGCGCTTCTGATGAGTTCTTGCTGTCAATAACTGCAACCACCACCAGTTTTCCTGGAGAAACAAAGATTTAGAAGTGAAGTGATTCCATTAAGCATGAAACAATTTGCAAAGAATAATTTTGAACCAAATTAGCTCAATGCATGAACACTATTCTTAGAATAAGCACCATTTTGTATTTTAGTTGCACAAACACAGTATTAAAGTCAGAAAGATTTAAAATATTAGGTTAAGACTCAGGCACCAGTTGTTCAATCTGATTTCCTGGTTTGCTATTAACAGCATTAGGTGTTTCTCTCCGTTCTACTTTTGACTTTCCATTTGTTAAATGTGGCACGCACCTTTTCTTTACTTTCTGTACACCTACCTCTTTTCTCTTCCATCACTGGCTTTCCAAAATATCCTATTTGCAAAGCCCCATTTAATTAAAAGTTTAAACTAATGCAACTAGTCAATTTAAAACAATTATATCCAAATTTTAAAAAAGAGGCACCTATGACTAGACTGATATTTGTCAACCAAATGATGGTCTATGGTGCTTTTGGTTCTGTTCAGAAGTTCAATGCCTAATGTCTTTGAACTGATTGAACATGGAAGATTTTCACAATTACTGTAAAATGTTTTCTTATTCCTGATACTATAGAGAACAAGTCAGAAAATAGATGAAACAGCTGAAAAAGGCAAACTTCTGTGGGTCACTTGAGTTCAACAAATTTTGGAAGATGGTGCAACTCCAATTTCTGAACTCACCATTAATCAGGTATGAGGTCAAGGGGAAGAAGCACATCACCGAGAATGATAGTTGTGGTGCATGGGACAGGCATTGTGATTAAAATGCATGCCTGAGAGGCACTCAGGAAAATCACTCAGCCAAATCAGAAGCATTTTTCTTTACAATCAAATTAGTGGACAGACATTGCAAATAAAATTTCATCCATTTTTGATTTTATGGATCTTTAACTTCAGTTTCCTTCCCTTCTTCTGGGGGTGAGATATCATGGCAATACTCAACTAAAAAAAAAATTCTCATTGCTTCAGAGTAACTGTTCCCTGCAGAGGAACTTAAAGCTCAATGAAGGGTCACTCCACATTGTAAATCCACATTTTTAAACATGTTTTCTACCACCCATTAGATTTCCTCAATGAGCATGCCATCTCCATAGCTAGCTCTTAGATAAATGCTCCATTGTTCTTCTGGTTCATTATCATGGACAAGATGTCATTTTTCTGTATGCATCCAGTTCACCTTTCACTCGGTAAATCCTGCAATAATTTAGATAAAGCTATGAACTTACAGCATGAGGATTGAGGGCATAAACCCAACACCTAATATAAAATGTCGCAAATTTAAGAACAACTTTAAAATCAAACAAACATGGATTTTAAGATTAAGAAAAAAAATGAGAGCTGCAAGTACCTGTCTCTGCTAGTTCATATAAAGCAAAACCATCAATGTGAATGTATCCTAAAAATCTCTCTTTGGTCACCCAGGATGACAGATCACCATCTTCATATTCTGAATGGAAAAAAAGTTTAAAAACAGATACAGTCAGTTTTGTCCATGAATTAAATGTGAAGTCAACACATCCATAAAGAACAATTTCCAACAAGAAGTTGCAATCTAATTGTTCACACTGTTGACAGTATTCAGCCTTTGTACATAATTGAGGGACTATGTTTATCCCACACATTTGTTGACTTGTGGGGAGAGAGACAGCATGCAAAGAGAAAGATCAGTTAGTCCATCAGTTTGCTCATTCCATAGCCTATAATGCATCATCACAGCCTCCAAATAATCTGAATAATATCCCAAGAAAAACTTTTGCAATATTTGAAAAATCTTTTCAGATTTTCATATTTTTTTTAAAGGAACATTGTTTCTGCAGAAATGTGCTCAATTTCCGGTCGGTTCTGTTCATAAATGCAATGCCCAATGTGCTATGAAGCAGCGGCACCCCGGTTCTATCTTAAGTTTGTGGTAAACTCAGCTAGGCTAGCAACAAGACAGCCCTATTTAGCCTCAGTTCCCTAGACTAAGAAAGAAGAAAAAAAGTGTGTCCCAAGATTACCTGAATGGTGAGCCATGCTGGAAATGTAGATGTTTGAGTGAAACATTTTAGCTTTGATTGTCCATCATCAAATACACCATCTTGACCACAAATTTAGAAATGCCTACATAGGTGAGGCTGACTGGATGCACAAAATGGAACAGAGCTGATTTTCTGGCTACCAACTGTACAGCAAACAGGGCAAACTCCGTTATCGTTTGATTTTCTTCTACTTGCTGTAGCTAACGTAGGAAATTCTGTATACTCGGGACAACTACAAACCCTCAACTAATATTTTGCATAAATGCTGCATAGGTGTAGAACTTGTGTCTGGACACCAAACACAACGTCAGAAGCTACTAAGGAGCATGCACAAGGAACATGATCGATTACATTGTAAAAATGAAAGAATTCTCAATTTTCCTTCATTGCTTACTCAGAAATGAACATTAACTTTTAAAAAAAAAAGGGCATAAAATGTTGACTGCCACAACAGATACAGAGGACTCTTTATAAAGCAAAGAGAAAGGGCACACAATCAACGGGTAAACAAAACAAAAACTGGCCAATAGTCCAATAAATGAACAATAGCCTCAGAGCTCGCCGTTTACAACACCAGGTCCTGCTGCTATTTAACAACAGCATTATTTATCTGTGGTTAATTTGCAATGGTTTTCCATCTTTATGGTGAAATTATGAAGAACATTTTTCAGTTTCACTAGATATAATACTGCCACTGTACTGGAGCTCTGAACAAAAAGGAGGAATTATTGCTTCAGCTGTACAAAGCCCAGGTTAGCTGATATCTGCAGGAAGGGTACCGTTCTCTGCACCATACCTTAGAATGGATGTGTTAGCTTTGCAAGCAGCTTTGTGCAGATGCCTGTGCAGCAATATGGTTCAAGTGGATTGGAAATATGCAGTGATGATGTGGTGAGGCTGACAAGTGTCTGACGCCAAGATTCATGGACGTAGGATATGTGCAGCCACTGCCTACAGATCATGCCGAGTTGTTGGTGCCCTGTGCTGAAGATGAAGGCCTGGAGGTGAAGCAGCATCAGGAATCATGAGGTAACCACTTTGATTTTCACATCAGGATCTTTCAGCATCTAGTTTCCTCAATGGCAGGCAGTAGGCTAGGAAGCTGCATCTTACTGAGGTAAGCTCTGCAGTTAATGAGCCTCAGGACAAGCAATATTCCTGTTAACCTTGTCGCTCTCTGGCAAGAATCTCACCTCAATGCCTGGAACTCTGATGAAAAATGCAACTAGTTCCTCCCAACGTCAATGAAGACCTCAGTGAACTTCTCATATGATTCTCCCAGATTTCTTGCCACAGCCAATATTGTTCAGGCCTCTATCCGTTTCTGCCCAATTTGTTCTGAATGGTGCAAACAGGCTCAAGGGGCTGAGTGGCTTATTTTGGTTTCTGAGAGTTAAATGCAAATTCTACTCAATTATGACCTTGTATATATATACACAAAACCTGTCAACATGTTGTTAAGTGATAGAAAGATAAGTTGTACTTATAGATTTTTCAAAGACTCCATCACCAATGTTAGTCTATGCAAATTTAAATTTGCAAAGCACATGATACATTTGAACACACACTCTAGCCAATAGAGACCACAATGCTGTTTCTACTGGCTGGGAGAGTCATTTGCTGGAATGATCAACATCTCGCTAACACAATGTTACCTCTAAACCCAGTGCTTAACAGAACTGAAGTTAGGATTTTACTAAATGTGCAAGGATCACAAAAAAATTAACATATATGTTAACAATTGTTAAGTTTGAATCAGCCAATTATCAAGTTGGGAAGTAGGTATAAATATAGATTCACAGCTCATTTTGCTGAAAACAACCGACTAGTTGCTCAGCAAAGTCTTCGGAGTCAAATCAGGTAGGTTATTTAACTTTTTTTAAAAAATATAATAATTACAGCAAAACTTTAAACTAAATATTGCAAAGTTTCAGCTCTTTGAGAGAGAAAGAACTGAGCCAAGGATGTTGCAGAGCTTGAACCATGTTGAGTATGATTTAAGCCAGCAGGGGTGATATCTATACCTGCCTTTTGGCTAGAACACCAGGAAAATGTTGGAAGAAAAGAATATGGACAAATGTTGTGGTCAGTATGTGAATGGTGAGTAAGGATAGGATCAGTCGTTGCTGTCTTGCTTCCTGCAAAGTTTACACTAGAAGAACAGTGATTTAGCCATGGCAACAGTGTGCAAATTTGAACTGCACCTTGGCAAGTAACAAAACTCTCCAAAAGATGGGGACACTAATAGAAGTTGGTTTAAAAAGGTAGAAAAGATTACGAAGGGAGGGTGTGATTTAGGTTCAGCTAGCCCTTTTGGCAAAGGACAGGAGGGGGAATCTGGTTGGATAAGTGTGCCCTGGATATTTTGTCAGGTGAGTTTAAAAGAGGATTTTGAAGGAGGAAAAGGAGAAGTTTAAAGAATGAATTCCAAAGTATTGCACAGATTTTGGAAACAAGGGACAGTGGGATATGAGACCAGATTAAAAGAATGAAATTATGGTGCTCAAGGAGCATGCAAGGCCACAAAAGGAAACAGGAGGATGTGTAATTTAAATTTTAAATGTTGGACAACTAGAAGCCAGTGACAAAGGAGTGATGGGTAGAATGATACAAACAAATATTGGATGAGCCAATATTAACAGTGCAGGGATGGAAGGCTTGCAATTTATGTGCTTTTCTTGCTGAGTCTAGAAATGACAAAAAGCAAGGCTCAGTGTTTCCGCAGCAGATGGGCAAAGACACTTGATGCTATGAGAATATGTGGCTTTTATGAGAGTGAATATGGTGTCAGAAATTGAGCTTGGATGTTGAAAACAGACTGGTTCCTTGAGATAGTGACTGAGAAGGAAATTGAACCAATACCAAGGGCATGGAGTTTGTAGCAATGACTGAAGGTAGTCTTCTCAATATTTAAATGATAAAGTCTCATCCAAGACTGGAGATGAAAAAACAGATTGAGAGCACAGAGCTACTGACATTAGGAATAATGGACAGGTAATACTAAATAGCAGGATGTGATTGGTGGTGTCAGAGGTATTGGTATTGTGGTCCACTGTAATCGTTAATGATTTAGTTAATGCAATAGAGTAGCACATATCAATTTTTTCCAATGATGCAAAGTGGCATTGTAAGCAGTGTAGTTGTAAGCATAAAACTAGAGATATTTACTGATTAAATGAATGGACAAAATTGTGAGAAACAGATTTCAATGTAAGTAAAAAGCTGTTCAGTTTAAAATACGAAGAATAGCACAGGTTATTTTGAGTGGCAGAAGTTTTAAAGTCCTGGGGTGCAAAGAGACTTGGGCAGCCCTAGTAATAAATATTAAATTGTCACATACAGTTACAGAAAAACTTTAAAACAAACTAGAAAATGCTAGCCTTTATATCAAAAGGACTAGAATGCAAGAATGCATCAGTCATTCTTAAGATATGGTAACGCCCTGGTTAAACCACATGGAGTCCTGTCAGCAGCTCTGAAACAATACCTTAGGAAGGCAACACCACAGCATATATTTACTAGAATGCAAGTATGAAATAACTAAGAGTTAAAACAAACTAGCACCGTACTTCCTGGAATTCACCAGATTCAAAGAATATTTGACTCAAGTTTTCAAGGTATTAAAGGGAATCACATAGGGTAAATTGAAAAAACAATTCTGCTTGTTGGGAATTTAGGACAATGTGTTAAATTAAAAATAAATCAGACCTTTCAGGGTGAAATCTCTATTAGAAGGCAAAAGTTTGGAAGTTCTTCTCACAAATGGCAACTGATGCTTGGTCAATTGTTAATTTAACAACCGAGATTGATAAAGGTTGTTTAGCTGAAGGTATTCAAGGTAACAGGGTGAAGCAGGTATATTGAGTGCAAGCACGGTGTTTGGTTCTGAGCACACTTTAGAAAGGATATATTGAACTTAGAGCGAGGGCAGCATAGGTTATCCAGAATTATACCTGTAATTCAATGTACTTCCTCAAATTTAGAAAAGTAACAGGTGATTGGTAGATATTTTCAAGATATGGAGGTTAACCATAAACTTTCAAGATTAAATACTACAGGGCTAAGGGAGCATACTTTAAAAAAAAGTAGCCAGGACTTTCAGAAATAGAATTAGTATTTTTACATTTAGTTATGTGAGATATTACGACACTGTTAACCAAAGGTACATTGGATATGAGGCAAGTCAAGTTATAAAGAGTTAGGTCACAGTTCAGCCAAAATCTCAAGAATGGCAGAAGATACCAAGAGCTAAATGACCTACTCCTGTTTCATTGAATCTCCTGGTCCAATTATGCCCTTCTCTTTAACGCTATTTCACCTAAAAACAATGTCTAGTCTTGACTCATGTGTAATCCTCCCGGAGATCAACTATTTAAGAAAGTGAAATTAAAATTCTGAGTCAAGAGAAATGGATTATTCTTTCCAT